ACTTTGGAAATTTATATTCATTAAATAAAAGTTAAAAAAAAAAAGAAACCATACTCTAAATACTTAGGGGGTATCAATGTTATAATGATTAAAGTTCTCAATTCCTAGATCCATACATATCTAGATATGCTCAGTTAGGGCCAATGGAATACAGACTCAAGGCTCCTGGGTGGGGTTTTAAGGATTGTACTCAGAGGAAATGTGCTTTTTGGTGTTACCATGTCCCTCCTTAAATGGGGGACTAAGATATAGTTCAGAAGACAACTTGAAAACAGGAAAAGAAGCAACAAACATCAAGAAAGGCAAAGAAAGCAGCTTTTAGTTTGAACCATGGGCTTGCTGCTTTGGTAAATCAAAACCAATTGAGTATGGGCAATTTCATATAGACCAATCTAATACAGGGGCCTGAGGTTCAAGATGGTATACCAGCTGCAGTAGATTTGGAATGGCTATTTCCACACTTATTACCACTTGCAGAAAACCTGCCATCTAATTTGATTTTGTTTACATGCAGCTGAACACAATACTGAAAAATCTTTAGAGAGCAAATTCTTGCCTCTCCTTAACTTCTGCCTTTTAAAGCTATCAGAATTTCTTAGAAAATAGAATAAAAACATACATTCACTTTGGTGAAAAATTATTGAAATCCATGCATAGAATTTCCATGATATGCATTTCCCAGGAACTTTTTGGAGACCTGATGTTCAGGTAACATTGTGTGATCTGCTTCCTTAGAGACTATCATGGACGCTACTTATCTTATCTTGACATTCTCAGTCCATTCTTGTCATCATCACATGATCTCATTTCTGGGTCACTAATCATCCTGATCACTATCTTCTACATGTCCAGTTTGGTAATGAGGAATTGGAAAGGAATCTTCAGAGAAGACTCCTTCAGATATAATCTGATTGGCAAAATACAGAGAGGGCCGTTACCCAACCCGTTTTCTGACTTTGTAGTTCTAAAGGTCCACTCTATGACTGTTTGTTTCTTTATTTCTTTGTTTTCAAACCACGCCACTGGCTCATCTTGAAGTTGGACTCATTCCTCACACAGAACAAGCTAATATGTAATACCTCTCCTATCCTCTACAGATTATTTCCTTCAAATATCTCTTTTAAATTTTTGAAAATTTTTTGAAGTTTGGATCCATTACATGTTAATAAAGATTTATTTATTTATTTGTAAGGAAGAGTGACAGAGAAAGAGGGAGAGAGGCAGAGGAAGAGAGAGCTCTTACACCTGCTTGTTAACTCCTCAAATGCCTGCAACAGCCAGGGCTAGGCAAAGTCAGGTTGAAACAGGCTCCTAAGTACTTGGTTCCTCACTGACCCTTCCCAAGATGCACTAGCAGGAAACTGGATCAGAAGCATGAAGTAGTGGAACTCGAACCAGACACTATGAAATGGGATGCAGTGCTGGCTTAACACCCTGAACTTGAACCCAAGGCCTGGGTTCATTGCTTCAATCCATTGAGGTTGCTTTTGGATGCTAATGAGCTGTCACTATCTGCTTTTTTCATCTCCAAATGATAAGAAAATTTCTGAAATCAATGTAATAGATTCAAGGATATGGCCAAGTTCTTATCTAATTTGCAATTCCATCTATTCCAGAGCTATTTACTCTGACTGCACTGTGTATGAGGCATAAACACCAAGGTAGGCATAGTACCCTGAAGTACTGACAGTTCAGTACAACACGGCGAATATTGGGATAAAAGAAAGTCACATTTGCTGTACTTCCTTCCAGACTCCTTCTGTAGGAAAGAGATGGTAAAGCTGAGAGATAATGGTGAGTACATTAACCAGGCAAGGGTTACGTGTAGAAAAAACTACATATGCCAAGGTCTAGAGGTAATCCAGCGTGATAAAGATTCTGGATTCCAAAGTCAAATATGGCTAGGTCAAGTTTGTGATTTTGGGGAGGTGGTCAGGAGGGGAGAGGTGAGGATAGAAGGTCAAGAGGTATAGTTGGCAAGGTAGGCCTAGGTCAGATTTTGAATAGTTCATGTGAAGAATTTATCCTGAGGGAAGAGAGTGTATGTGCTGAGAGGTTATATTTTCTAGGGGCCAGCATTATGGTGTAGTGGGTTAAGCTGTCGCCTGCAGCGTAGATATCCCATACGGGCACCAATTTGAGTGCAGGCTGCTCCTCTTCCCACCCAGCTCTCTGCTAATGCACTTGGGAATGCAGAGGAAGATGACCCAAGTGCTTGGGGCCCTGCTACCTACGTGAGAGACCTGGAAGAAGCTCCTGGCTCCTGGCTTTGGCCTGGCACAGACCTGGCCATTGTGACCATTTGGAGAGTGAACCAGAATATGTAAGATTTCTCTCTCTCTCTCTCTCTCTCTCTCTCTCTCTCTCTCTCTCTCCCCCCCCCACCCCTGTGTTACTCTTATTTCTAAATAAATACAGCACAATAAAGGTTATATGTTACATAATAGCATGGTACAACAATAACGATTATCATTGAGATAATAACAATAACGATTATTATTGAGATGCAGAGAGAGAGAGAGAGAGAGAGAGAGTGCTCCGTCTGCTGGTTCTCTCCCCAAATGTCTGCAATGACAGGGAGTGGGCCAAGTTGAAGCTGGGGACCAGGAACTCAATCCAGGTGTCCCATGTAGGGGGCAGGAACACAATTACTAGAGCCATCACCAGCTGCCTTCCAGGGTCTCCTCTAGCAGGATGCTGAAGCTGAGAATGGAACCCACATGCTCTGAGCTGGGGCAGGAGTATCTTAAGCACTGTCTTAATTGCTAGGCTTAGCACCTGCCCGTGTAGCTTTAATTATTAAACAACATTATGTGGATTAGCTCAATGTGTTAACCATCACTCCAGTTGCAATGAAGGAAGTGAATTGAGAGAAGGCAGGACCTCAGGGAAGGAAGTCTCCTGGGGCCCTTGCAGCCAATTCGGCTGGGGTCACCAGGGTGAGAGTGCAGAGATGGAGACACAGAGGCACTCAAGAGGCCCAGAGGATCAAGGGCTGAGAGCTGGAGAAGGGGTGGAAAGAGGATGGTGAGTGATAAAGGGAAGAATAAAAGGACTTCGGCTTCTGGGTGCATGGCCAGAGGAGGGTTCTTAGAAAGATGTGATTTGTGGCCAGCACTGCAGCTCATTAGGCTAATCCTCCACCTGTGGCACCGGTACTCCAGGTTCTAGTCCCGGTTGGAGCACCAGATTCTGTCCTGGTTGCTCCTCATCCAATCCAGCTCTCTGCTGTGGCCTGGGAGGGCAGTGGAGGATGGCCTGAGTGCTTGGATCCCTGCACCCGCATGGGAGACTGGGAGGAAGGAGCCGGCTCTGGGCTTCGGATCGGTGCAGCGGCCGGCCATGGCAGCCAATGTGGGGGTGAACCAACAGAAGGAAGACCTTTCTCTCTGTCTCTCTCTCACTGTCTATAACTCTCTCTCTCTCTGTCTCTCTCTCTCTCCTGTCTAACTCTGCCTGGCAAAAGGAAAAAAAAAAGATGTGATTTGGGTCATGATGGGGTTACCAGGAGCTCTCCAATGTGAAGATAGTCAGATGCATATGGTGCCCTGGTGAGATATCTGGGCTTGGACAAAGGCAGTCTTCAACTCTAGTTCTGTTAAGTGCCCAGGGAGAGAGTAGAGAGTGACTGAACGGAAATGAGGGCAGGTCACTAGGACTTCAGAGTTAGGAAGAAGGACAGCAGTCTGGGAAAGTAGGTTGGCAAAGAGCCACAGAATCACAAGAAAACCCAGGATGGGTGATGGCATGCAGTCACAGAGTGCACGCTTTGGGAAGGTGGGGATATTAGAATGTCAAGGTCTCTAGAGGTTCAAAAGAGAATTTATTTATTTATGCTAAAGCTTATTTATTTTTGCTTATTTGAAAGGCAGAGGGTAGAGTGAGAGAGAGAGAGAGAGAGATCGTCTATCTGTTGGTTCACTTCCCAAATGCCTGCACCAGACAACGCTGGACCAGGCCACAGCCAGGAGGCAGTAACTCCATCCGGGTCTCCCACATGGATGCAGGGGTGCAAGAACTTGAGCCGACACCAGCAGCCTCTAGGGTGCTCACCTGCAGGACGCTGGGTTGGAGGCAGAGTTGGGGCTGGACCCCAGGCATCCTGATAACGTATTTGTGAACCCTAAGCATCAGCTTCTCTAGCTGTACTTAGGCGATCATAGTTAGCCCCAAGACACCTATCCCCATGGGGAGAATAGCTTTGTAGGGGAAGTCCCAGAGTGGGAGATAAAAGTGAGGTGAAGAGTAGAGCTAGAAAAAGTGGAGAACTATTTCAACAGATTTACTGTTAAAGTACAGAAGTGGTGAGGTAAGGGGGGGGGCTATTGGAGAGGAGTTTGCTGCTGGTTTCATAAGCTATGGAAGACTTGTTTGAATACTGATGGGTGGGACTAGTGGAGGGGAAACACAAAGGCAAGATCTGGGAGACCATCGCCCACAAGTGAGGCCCTCAGTGAACCTGAACAGGTTGGGGGGCAGAATGAAGGTTTTGAGAACAAACAGGTAGAAGAATGAGCCTTGGGAAGAAAGGAGATCAATTCAGTCACTATTCAAAGTAAAGAGGAGAAATCTTTGAGAATATCCATTATGATTGCATTTAGCTACAGATGACAAAACGATCCAAGAAGAGCGGCTTAACGAAGATACAAGTTCATCCCTTGGGTTACAAAACTACTTCTTGTCTGTTCCTGGCTGGCATGCTACTCCCCACCTCAGGGACCCAGGCCTTTCTGTCATTTGAATTTGCTCTATGCACTTTGTCTCCATGGTCTAAGAGCATTCAAATGTGGGGTGAAGAAAGAGATGTAGAAGCAGCACCCAGCAGAAGCGACTCTTCTGGAGCAGGTGCCTAGTTTGATTGCCCCCTGCCAGAGCTGTGCCACACACAGAGGCAGGGAAGTGTGGGAAACACACTCTATCCACTTTGGATGACCACTTACCTGCACTGATTCAGGAGACTGGTATGGAAAGTGGAGGAAGAACCTCCAGAGACCATTCACGTGTGGCTTGGAAGGAGAGAAGGTTAAGAGTTCCCTTGAGCAGGATGGGAGAGGCCTTATGCCAACAGGACACTTGGTGGGTGCCGCCTCCTCACCGACTTGGTGGCATCCAACCCCTATTTCCAACATCACTAGGCATTAGGAAAACAGGAAAGTGATCCCAGTGAGGCAGTACTTCATACTCATTAGAGTCTCTTATCAAGAAAGAAAAGGAAAGAAAACAACCAGTATCAATGATGACGTAACCAAAGTCCAAACATCACACATTGCTGGTTTTAACATAATACAACCACAGTGGAAACTGTGTGGCTTCCTCAAAACCCTAGCATAGAATGACCATCCCACCCAGCCACTCTGCACCTGGCTATGGACCTCAAATAAATGACAACAGGACCTCAATAAGTAATTACACATTATACTACTATATACTATGCAGTAGTCAAAAGGTGGAAGTGTCCATCCATGACAAATAAACAATATTGCTGACCATACTTGGCCGTCCACACGACAGCAGTTGTTACTTTGGAAGTTGGGCCAAGTGAAGGGCTTTTCAGCTGGGAGCCAACAAGGTCTGTGGCTCTGACCCGGGCATCCTTGGACTCCAGGGTGGTTCCATTTCTAGTGACTTTCCACCTCGAAAACCGATGCAGTGGATTGGTCTGTTGGGTCTCCTTGATGGCAAATCACTGTGTAGGGCAGCCACCTGCACATACAGACAATGGCTATTCGTTAGCATTAAAGAAGGAAGCAAACTCTGACCTGCTACAACATGAGTGAACGTTGAAAACATTGCGCTACGTGAAATAGTGTGACGCATAAGGACAGACACTGTATGGTACCCCTTCCACGAGTGCCTATAGTAATCACTTTCACAGAGGTTACTAGTGGCTGGTGGGAGGGTCTCTGGGGAGCACTCTTTAACAGGAACAGGGTTTCTGATTGGAATGATGAAAACGTTCTGCCCATGGATTCTGGTGATGGCTGTGCAACATGGTCAACGTAGTGCCACTGAACTGCACACTTGAAAATGGTTACAATGCTGAATTTTAGAGTAGGCGGTTCTACTTCAATTTAAAAAAATTGGAAAGAGAGAGCTAGCTGTCTCTGGCACAGAGGAGGCATAGGTGAGTTTTAAGCCTGGTTGCAGGAAGCTGAAGGAGTTTCCATTTGATGGCTTTGATTTTCCCCTGGGCATAGTGTGGGGGAATGGTTTGTGTTTATGTGCATGTGTGTACAGGTGCACATGTGTACAGGTCTATGTGTGTGTGTGTGTGTTCATATAATATGGTTTGGTCTTTTAGGAAAGCAAGAAAGAACTGAAATAGTTGCTTGTGGAAAGGGGAAGAGAGAGGACAAAAGTTAGAAGAACTTGGTGCAGGTATCTCTGTCTCTGTCTCTATCTCTCTCTCTCTCTATCTCTCTCTCTCTCTCTCTCTCTCATACTTTTCTATTTTCTCAGGATTTCTATAAAAAGTTAAAGCCCTGTCTTCTTTTTCCTTGTCTTTTTCTGATTCTGTCCTCCCGTACTTGTTCACAGCTCACCATCTACACAACTTTTACATTAGTTTTTAAAGGAATTACAGAAATATACTTTCTTACCTTTATAATTATAGAGGATATATATATATATGTATATATAATGTAATCCTTGGTCTGTGCATAAATCATCCTAATGTCATTAAATCTAACTTTAGGAACTTAGCTTTTCCCAAGACTTTATTTTCCTCACCTATAAAATGGGATACTTAAACCTCATTTTATACAGGGGACCTGAGTATTGGTGGATTTTGATATCAGTGTAGGGGAGGAAGCCTGGAATCAACCCCCAGAGATGCTGAAGAATGACATACACATTCATTTACACAGTTTATGTATTTATTTGGTTTATATACCTTGGAATTTAGCTTTCATGTTTAATTGAATTATGTTTTTGTGAAACTTTCCCTACCTTGGATACAATTTGGAGAATTAGAAGCCAACATCTTACTTAGCAGAGCCATCCTCAATTCCTTCCTGTTTAGATGAGAGGCCCTTTTCTATCTTGCCCAGTCCATCTCCCCTTCTCTGTCTCCAATATTCTCCCCATCTCTCTGCCTCTTAGCTCCACTCTGTACTGAATGTTGATCCCCTTCCACAGCCCAGGGCCTTTGCACATGCCACTCTTTGAGGGCAATGTTCTTCCTGCAGGACTGGCATCGTGGGACACCATACATACTCATCTGTTGTTGAGGATGATTAAAAAAACGAGGCCAGGGAAATCATTTAAAAGGCTAAAAAGGAACAGAAGTTGTGAAAGACCATGTCTAAGCTTCACACTTGGTCTTCAAGGGGATCCCTGTTCCTAACCTGTCCTAGGATGACAGGAGGACACCTGTTGTTGGACCACAGGCCCCTAAGTGTGGCCTCTCACTCACAAAATACAGACCCCCACCCAATCATCTGGGTCCCATGAAGCCCCTCAAGTGATGCACACTAAATTTGGGAACCCATGACTTCAAGGAGTTGCAAAGAAGGAGCTCTTTTTTGGAAGGGTCCCCTCCTGGTCTGGGCACTGTGGGTGAAGAGGAAGCAGATGTAAGGATCTGGCCTCAAGGGAGGGGTCTCACTTTCCCTTCCCTATACCCACCTTAGGGAAAGCCGCCAGGACAAGGGAGCTGAGGCAACACAAGCCGTGTACATAAATAGATGTGACGTGTGCAAATGCTCTTCAGTATCCCAGGGGGATTGGTCCCAGGTTCCCTCTCCCACTGCAGATACCAGAAAGCCGCAGGTGCTCCAGTCCCCATTTAAACTGGTGTTAGTCTGTAACCTCCACAGTCCTCTCCTCCACTCTCACTCATCTCTGCACCACGTACACCAGCTAACACGATGTGAATGTTATGTGAACAGTTACACTGCGCTGTTTAGGGAACAACGACAAGCAAAAAGTTCGCAAACGCTCAGGAGGAATGCAAATTCTTTTCCTGAATATTTTTGATGGGCAGTTGGCTGAGTCCAGAGATTCAGAACCCATAGATGTGGAGGGCTGACTGCATTACCAGATTTAGCAAAGAAAAATCTAGGATGCTTGATAAATTGAAATTCCAGGCAAACAGTTTTTTATTAGACGTCACTGTGCTTATAGTAAAAGGTCTTTATTTTTGTGAAATTCTCATTTAATTATGCATCTCATTTATTTTTATTTTTGTGCTGTTACCCTGCCTTTTGGCCATAAATATTAGGTTCATAAGGGAATAGCCTGATCAGAACTGGCATCCAAAGTGTAGAAGTGACTTTTAATAACCTATTAATTTGCTGCTTAATAGGATCCTGTGTGATTTGACAGGGAAGCAAAAGGATGGCTGCTTTTTCTGGCTCATCAGATCACTTGTAAGATCGACAATTGGAGAGAGAGAGAGAGAGAATGGAAATAGCAAACGTGGTGGTGGTTGCAAGTAGTGCACCTATCAAAAAGTCCCTCCCCTTCGTTCAAATAACTGAGCACTTACTATGGGCAGGTCCTGTATCCACACGCCCTCCAACAGAAAGACAAACCCAAGCCACCTTCCTGGAGCTGGAGCTCTCCAGCTCAGGGTCCTGGCTCCTGGGCAGACTTCCGGCAACCTCCTCCTTACCGGTCCCAGGTGACAAGATGCCCCTCCAGAGGGTGGCCTGGTGCCCTGGCCGGGCATGAGTGACAAGCTCCCTAACCCGATGCAGCGGAGGGAGCGGCTCTGCTGACAGAACCATTTGCTGGTTTCCGGAACATCCTCCCAGCCTCGGCAAGGCGGCAGCGGGCGTCAGCAGGAATTTCAGGATGTATCACTCTCTCAGGTGTCCGGCTTTTTGTGAGCTGGACCACTGCTTCCTTTTGTGCTTCTCTGGACCTGCAGCCTGCATGTACTGTCCTCCCAGACTTCCAGAGCCCAGGAAACGACCCGCACAACACTGCCCTTTCTTCCCCCTCCTTACTGCTGTGTTTATGTAAATGACTGGAAAAGCAGTTTTCGGCTTATTCCTGAAGCTTAAGAGCTTCGTGAGAAGCCTATTATTGAAAAATCAGAAACTGAAAAGCAACTTCTTAGACAATGAATTAGCAATGCAGTGACTGTGTGTGTGATGCTGAGTGCACGGGAACGGGCTGCGTTACACACACAGGAGCTCCCCTGGGTTTCAGTAATCAAACACGTGGCAACAGGTTGTCTGTTTCAACAGAGAGTGAGCAATCAAAGGAGATTTGCAGTTAATCCAAATATAACAGAGAGCCTTCCAAAGAAAGCCCAGGAAAGGTGAAACCGGAAGAGGGACGAGAGATGGGCCACTGCTGACAGGTGTGGGGTTCCACGTGCCACAGGCAGAACCTGAGAGCAGCGGCCCCAAGTCCATCTCCATGAGCATGGAGGAGGCACCTGCTTAGAGGGAGGGGAAACTGGGGCTCAGCTGCACATGGAAGCAAGCCAAAGACCACCTACAGGAGTGCGTGTTGGGGAGCAGTGGGTAAAGCCACCACCTGTGACTCCAGCATCCCACGTCTCAGGGCCAAATATGAATCCTGGCAGCTCTGCTTCCCATCCAGCTCCCTGCTACTATGCCAGGGAAAGCACTGGAAGATGGCCTGAGTGCGCAGGGCCCTGCCATGCACACGGGAGGCCCAGGTGGAGTTCCCAGCTCCTGGTTTTGGCCTGGACCAGCCCTGGCCATCACAGCTATTTGAGGAGCACATCAGCGAATGGAAGATCCTTTTCCATCTGTGTCTCTCCCCACTCTGTAAGGCTGCCTTTGCCATAGACAGATAAGTCTCTTAAAACATTAACTTTAGCACTTGCCCCTTCTGCTTGCTGAGAGACGTGCAATTGGGAGGGAATTAACTACCATTTGACTGGCTTCAAAATTCTGAGCCTCCGTCCAGACTGAGGGCAAGGGTGGGGAAGGGGGTGCTATGTCCCGGAATGGCCCCGGCCTCGGGGATACTGGTCCTCCTCTGTGTTTCCATGTTGCAAGGAGAGACTGTTCATTGTGTGGGTGTGGATCTCGCTGGTTCTCAGAGAGGGGCTGCTGGGCAGTGGTAGACATATCAGCCAGGAACTTGTCAGCAGTGCAGCTTGCAACCCACACTGAGAGATCAGAACTAACACAGCCTGAT